GGCCCACCTGTTCAAAGTACATTTAGTAATAATTATCGCTCTTCAGAACAATTTAGGAAACAATATTTTCTATCTACGTCGATTACAAAGCATCTAAGGTACGTAGATTTATATGAACAACTGAGTCAATAGGGATAAATAGCCCAACGAGAGTCGGCGGTCTTGAAAAATACTTGGATCTGGATGCCAGTCCTGTTATTGATATCATTCCCGTTCGAAGAACGTATTAGATGTCTGTGATGGCTTCTCGTACATCATAGCTACAGGAGCATGTAGTGGACGGAAACCCCACCCAGAAAAGTATATAGATGACGCTACATGCTTCTGTGGTCATCCACGTAAAAGCCATCAGTTCATTCGCCAATCAATCACAATGTTTTTCACATTAACCAATCACAATTGTTGGTAATTTTATGAAATTTTGAGTCTCTCTCTGCTGGTTTATCAGTAGGTTGCTATAGCTCTATCCATGGGTGTAGCGCTATATTTCTAAGTAGTACGCCAGCGCGGGAACAATAGTTGAGCGAAGCAAAAAACGAGTGTTTAGAGTCGTTTTTTTTATTCTGTGAATCAGTTCATATGGTTAAAATAACGAAAGAATGTGATGTAACCACGTGTCTACTTATCGGCTTGTTCTATGTCATCCATCGGACTAGGTTACATCGTGGAACGCAGCCGAACAGGACACTGAAGGCAACAGCATATCTATCTTGATCTTAGCCGATTTTTGGAAATTTAGATTGTCCATTTTGCAAGCTCACGTGACTGACACGTGACACATGTCTGATCACGTGACTAGTTACTATATCGATCATGTGACTTAATCACGTGTCAATGACGTGTCACCCAACCATGTCTTCAAGGAAAACGAAAGTAAATATTTTGGAAAATGTTTTCCGAGCATTAGCTACTGATTATAGAAGGCCCAATTACGCAACGAACGAAACTGCTAAATTGTATTTCGTGCCTAACAGGCGCAGTACGCAATGAAAGAAACTGCTAAATTGTATTTTTAGAGCTGTTTATTGATCTATTGATTCATAAAGACCTGAAATGATGCATTCAAAAAAGACCGCCTCCTAAATGAAAACAGTACACATAAGGTGGTGAAAAAGAACGAACTAAAGTTGAAAGATCGCAACGTTCGCTACTTTGTTCAATTCCGGAAATCTCCAATGGGCTGCAAATGGGAAATCATTTAGATTTATATTTTATAACCTCAGAATACTGGCTTAATTGTCGTGTTTGGCTGCGTTCCACGATGTAACCTTGTCCGATGGATGACATAGAACAAGCTAGTAAGTAGACACGTGGTTACATCTTACTCACGTCGAGAGCTACCATGTTAGATTTTGAAAGTATAGCTCTCCATCGTGAGGATCTCCAGCTGAAGAATTGTGACATCTAAATTTGATCAGCGCCATTCAGCGGCTTACTGTTTGTCTCAAACTGTATCCTACATATGGGCTCATATGTGTCTACTTTCCCCGTGCATGTAGGATCGCGGATGTGCTTCTATGGCGATCAGGAGTTCTAATCGTTTTTTGAATTCATCGTTTGATACCCATTTCCAATATGGCGGTTAAACGGAAATATTATCGACGCATGCGCAACTTGGGAAACGTCAAGCCGCCATATTGAATATACCTGGCCAAAACTTTTGACACGACCAATAAAATGAAGTCCTGATCGATACATAGGGCAGTGAGACGTTCTATAGTTGAGCTGAATGAAAGATGGCGATGTAGGATACATTTTCAGGTATATAATGTGCAACATGAGTCAGCTGAATTCCCTGAAATTTTCCGTGAAGTCAGGATTCTTAAGCTGTTGATTCTAGCGATAGAGAGCTATACTTTCAAAATCTAAGTAGCTCTAGACGGGAGTAAGTTACATCACATTCTTTCCTTATTCTAACCATATGAACTGATTCACAGAATAAAAAATTTAATTGTAGGGGGGTCTGTTCTCCCTAGACTATATCCTATTTAGTCTGAATTATATTCAGACTATAAGGCACCTATGTTAAAGTTTGGTAATTCTAAATATTTGTTTACATAGGAAGTGCTATTCAAAATGGCCGATTGGGTAAAATTAATTTGCACATTTGTTTCTTCAACTAGCTTTATTTCCACTTGACAATAAGCTGTGTTACTTTTTATTGCATTTAATTGTACCTTACTATTTAATTGAAATTTTGTAATGTTTATTTTATTGAAGAAATGGTTCCACTAATTGATAATTTTATGCAAAAAATTTCACTGCAATTTCCACAGGAAAGTAGTACATCATAACAGACTGACTTCTAGTCAGTCTGTTGGATACATACTACTGTTCTCCCCCAGGAAATTTTTGAAATTTGGTTGTATTTAGAGCAAATTTGCAACCATCTGGTACGCCTGTGCATACCCAGCGTACCGGGCGCTACGCCTATGGCTCTATGTCACTTGTTGCTGAACTCAAGGAGGATTGGCTCCCAGGATCGAAACTCGATATTTTCCAACAATGAAAACGTCGAAATGTCGTTATTTTCTGAAATTAAAACCGACTATAAATTCAAAATAAACAGTTCAAAAGATTCGAACCAATATCTCGATCGTTTCTTGTGAGTTTTGGAATTTTTCGTTTGGAAATAAGACCAAAATTCACGATTTAAATGTTGAAGTGAACAAAATGGCGGCTGTTTGAATTCGAATTTTGTATTACGACATACCCATATATGGGACAGAATATCGGTGGTGCACTCTGGGAGCCAATCCTCCTTGTGCTGAACTGCAATGACGGACTTGGCACTTCCGGGTTTTAATTTTATGTAAATCTTGATCAGAATGATGACAGCTAAATCATACAGGAACCATAGCTGAGAATTGTCTGCTTATGCGACCAAAATATAGAAGCATATAATAAGACGATTATATAAGATAAAAGACGCATACTTACTGCTGAATTTGACATTTTATTAGTGAATTTATCGATTGCCGGTCAGAGTACAAAATATGGCAAATCAAGTCTTACTTTTCAATGATATTAATATTATTTTGTCAGAAGAATATAGTGTATTAGCACTAAATATGTACTGTTAAAGTAAAATAAAATCTTTGATAGGTCTGACTACATATATAATTGATTTCTTCATTTCTAGAGACTTTAGAAAATCAAGGATATATAGTACACTAGGCCTATAGTTGCATTTACAAATAATTAGAAAGACCTGATTGTAGAGGTTTGATTTGGGGAATTCCCCAAAATACACAAAGGATTTCCCCTATTGATATACGACTTGCCAATCCAAATATTTAGTTCAAGATTAAGCTTATTTGGCTCTTATTTGTAGTCATTTCACCACCCTTCTAGAACCAAGTTGCTATTAAAACAGATGTGAAGAGCAGTTTCACGAAAATAGAGATTCAAGATTCAAGATTTTATTGTGTTTCAAACCAAACACTTGGTTTCCTCACAAAATCAATTACAAGACATTTACATATAATTATACAGTTAAAAAACACCATTCATTGTTTCACAAATACTATCATACAATCTAATTTTTTCCTTTTTCAAATAGCTCCCGACGCTGATTAAAAAGTTTATTTATAAAATGTATCAATTCGTTAACAATTTCAAAATCATCAGAAGTCATTAAAAAGTTATATTTTTCTTCATCCGACATATTATCAAATGTGTCAATAAAACTTAGTTTATTAAAAAATTCAAATCTACATTTTTTATAGCTATCACACACAAGAAGAAAATGTTTTTCATCCTCTACTTCCCCCTTATTGCAAATCTGACAAATTCTTTCATTTATTTCAAGTCGATGCTGTTTAGTGCCATCTTTTTTCTTTTTCTCGTGTCTCCCTGTTTCAATTCTTAAATTATGGTTTGCTAATCTAAACCTGGCCATTTTAAAAATTAACATTTTGTTCACGCTTAATGTTAAATATCTTTCCAGATTGTAATCAATTTTTATATAATTTCCAAGTTTTCTATTTTCCCTTATGGCTTATCATTATGTTCTATATATTTTCTTTGCATTTCAAGTTTAATTGCTTTTAGTAATCGTTTTATTCCAAACGTACTCCCATTTTCAAAGACATGTTGAAAATGAAAGTACTTTAATATGCATTCCATATGTTTGACATATAGGGGAGCCTGTCCATATTTCGGACAGTTTCAGAGAGATTGGCTTGTCAAACGAGTAAAATCTAGATATGTGGTAAAATATGTTTGAAATTGGAAAGCAATGACTTTGTTGTTGATAATAAATAATATGAAAGTATTCCCCGGTAAGACAGAAACGCACAAATGGACGCCACAACATATCATAACACCCGTCCTAACTTCGGACTGGTCGTCCCAAATTCGGAAAGTCGATTCGTCAACTCACACAAGATACTATTCACCAACTTACGCAACTTAAAATAAAGACGTACATATAAATTTAGCCAATGTTGTTTATATTCAACGCACTCGTTAGTACCTTTTTGCATTTAGCAAGCTAAAGTGTCATTTGTTTCATTTTTAGGTCTATGTGACATGCTGCTTTGTTACCTTGATTTGTAACTAGAAAGATTATAAGACTGACGAGAATTTAATTTCTGCTTATTCCGATGCTGTAAAAACTTGATATCATATTTGAATCAATTTATTATTCATAAAGTAATATATTGTTGTGGAGCGATGTTTCCTCCTCACATCTAATATACACACAGCTTGGGTATACGAAGGAAAGCTGGCTGCTTCAGTTTCAATATTCGTAATTTTTATGCAGAAAATGATGATTGCCGTGATTTATTTCAGTTATAATCTTTGGTTGATTGTATTAGTTTTTATAGTTTTCTTCTAAGTGCTTTCAAGTCCTAGAATACTGAGATATAATAAAAAGTAATTGTATTGTGATTGGGAAATATATACTATTGCAAACGCATTGTCCAGTACAACTTCTAAGGCGATCTGGTATTTGAATTTATGACTAAAAGGTCAGTTATCAGGTTATACAAAAATCAATTTGTCTTTTTTACAGAGAGCATGAATCTTGACGGAAATAAAGTCTTCATCCGTATTTCATCAGACTCTTCAATGTAGAATGCAATTTGGCCTTTCTGCATTGGTCCTCTTTTACTCGGCCGTGAGACTTCACTGGCTTTAAACCACAATTTCCTGATAGTTTCTCTATTTTCATCCACTATTGGAGAAATAAGCTCCGCGTCTTCCCACTTTAAATATCCCATACGTTTTTCTGAAATTTTAGAGAAATAAAGTGCACAAGTATATTTATAAGTCCTACATCATCATGCACATTTCAGAAACGCGATCGATTTGACGAGTTGAGTCTAGGATGAAGAATTTAGGCGACATGAATTTCACACTTATGCAGACCTGTATCCGAGTTTGTTTGAAATGATTTAACTTCTGTTCTTTGAGAACACTGTCATAATTACCAAAATACATAAATCGATGGTTATTAAACGTTATTCTCATTCTTCGCAACATTTTTGTACAATCACTTATTCCGACTCGTTGCAAGATACAACATACCGCCATCCATTACTGCAAACGCATTCCTGTCATTGCTATTTGAAGGTTCCCGCTTTAAGCTGTAGCTCTTGGTGATTCCAAGGTCAGCAACCTTAGCTTGATGCCACATCCCAACAACATCCACTGGGTACAGTACGACAACCTTCATCTATATCTTATATGTTTATACTTTCTATTCTTTTAATACTACTGTTATCTGAAAATTAAAATATGAAACAGAAATAGTAACTCATTTTCTTTTCTTTATTTTTATCAAATGCACAAAAGGAGTAATTTTTCAAGTAAGATCGATTGACTTTTAAGATTGAATTTTATAAGGCAATTTACTGTTTTGGTTGCAATTGCCAATTCTTAGAGACCATTGGTTATGAAAAAAATCAGTGTAGTATTGCATGCAATGTTACCGTATATTGTCACGTTTCCAAATCGTTTACTATAATTCGTACAATTCGTATAATTCGCATTCTGTACCATAAAATAGAATGGATTTATGTTTCTTTTTTATTCAATTTCAATCAAAATATGAAATGAACGTAATATATACTAAAATCTCTAAAATGCACATTGATTTAGTTTATGTAGAACTACAATTATACAATAGTACAACCTATCCTAACTATAGTACATATATCTGTTGTAATATGCATATGTATGTCACAGATGACACTAAAAGGAATTATTAAAAAAGTATAGGCCTATTAGTCAATTCAATTTACAACAGTCAATTCAGCCTATTGATCAGACATATTCAGTCTATCCAGACGTTTTCAACCTATTCAGACGCATTTAGAGAAAGTCTTCAAATATATTCCGTTCACTTAGGTGTCTTTCTAGTTCTTCAATTTGTGGCACTGGTTCTACTGTTACTGGCGCTGTTGTCACTGTTGCCTCTGTAACAAATATTAATTGATATCAATATCCACATACATGATTCTATTCATCTCTTAAACATTTCTAAGAAGACGCGATCTGAGGATTGAAATATTCAGTGACTTGACATGGTCAAGTTTTCACGTTATAAACAAGGATGTAGGCCTAGCAAGGAATGCAGACGAGGCAGTATCAACCATTAGAAAAATAATTCAGATATTCATCTCACTTTGGCTCACCTATCAAAAACTCTTAGGATCATTGCTATGCCCCTAATGACTTTAAGAGGTGTGAGAGAATTTGATTGTTTATTACAGGGGCCCTGATCTTTAAATACATGAGAAGTACATTTTTGTTTATTGCTCTTTTCATACCTGGTTTTCCGTGAATCGTTCTTTTGTCAGTTACCAATGATTTTAGCTTGTGTTTTCTTCCATTTTCTTTCTCTTCTTTTTTCTTAAGTCTTTCATCTTTCCTCTGTTCTTTTTCTAGATTAAGTTGGAACTTCTGCTCTTCTTTTCTTCTTTTTGCTTCTATATAGTCAGCATTGGTAATGATGAAATGTTTGCGCGTTTCATTTGATGTTTTGGATGACTTCTTTGGATATTTGAGGATATCACTATCTTCATCGGTGGGGGAAGATGTATTCATAAACGGCCATTTTCCATTTTCCAGTTCATCGGGAATGCTTTCTTTCAGTTTGAGCCATGTCGCGTATGTTGCATCTACGGAGGACCTGAAACCTGCAGCTTCCCTCCTCTTGTATAATTTAAGATCCTTTGGGCCAATAGCATCTTCAAGTGTCTTCAGTGCCATTTTCGGAGGACATGAGGTCGTTAAAGACACATCTGTGGGAAGACTTTCGATGTCCATGCTGTCAAATGGTGATTCTAGTGATACATCCGATGAAGAAGAAGCAGTCGGTCTCACAATTGAAGCAGAGGCAATGGTTGTGGTATCAATCACAGGGATGTCTGCCAGGGCACTCGTAGCGCTTGGACATATTCTATCATCTGCCAGGTCAGTATCTTTTGAAGTGCTGGGACCTACGTTCGATTGTGTAGCAACAGTTGAAGCAGTAGATATATCTTTTGAAGTGCTGGGACGTACGATGGATTGTGTAGCAACAGTTGAAGCAGTAGATATATCTTTGGAAGTGGAAGGACGTACGGTGGATTGTGAAACGACAGTTGAAGCAGTAGATATATCTTTGGAAGTGGTAGGACGTACGGTGGATTGTGAAACGACAGTTGAAGTAGTAGATGTAGAAACATATTTTGGATGGCAACAATCTGCAGGATTTACTGGTTTTGTCATGCGAGTAGGTGCGACCTCATTCTCAAGCGAAGATGGTAAATAGGCAGCTTTTGGAATTGCATCGGGGTTAAATGGGTACACCCCAGTTGCTCGAAAGCCACTGATTATATTTTCAGACGTTACGGATTTCTCCCAAACTTTAGCAAATATTTGGCAAAAATTGCTCCTGCCTACTGGAACACCTGGTGTTTCTCTTGTGTATTTCGAACACTCGCTGTCCCAGTTCTTCTTAGATGAGCCAAAGACTGTTCGATCCAGTTGCTGCAAATAGTGAGTCGTGTGAGGTGGCAAAATAATGATTATCACGCCATTCTCAAACCCATATTCTGCCACGTCTTTTGTCAGGTGGGAGTCATGCCCATCAAGTATCAGCAGAACCGGACGTTTTTCCCCGATGGTAGGAAGGAAGGCCCCTCTGAACCACAACAGACCTATTTCACGATTCGACCATCCAGTCTCTGACACTGAAAACCGGCATCCGATAGGGGCATAGGTGGTGTCAACGCTATCAAGAGCCTTCATCGTGACTCCCTTGAAGATGAGGTGTGGCGGCCCCACTGCTCCACTTGCACTTCCGAAGGCCATGCACGTGACCTACAATCACAATTGCAATGTTATAACCTTCCCTCGATCCTTTAAAAAGTAAATGATATAATAGGGAAAATACGTAAAAACGTTTGTAAAACGTTTTTCATATGGTCATATCGGCGATTTGAGTAGAATTAAAATTCGAATTATGGCTAATCATTTCTCAAATGTTTGCTCCACTAGGCATGGCCGTAGCCAGACATGTCAAAGTTCTCAGAAAAGGATAAAAATCTACTTTTGAGTGAAAACATGGAAAGAAAAATCTGATGATACGATACGATGAGATTACATTGTTAGTATGAAATTAAACGCAATGAAGTTCATGCTTATTCAAACAATAGTCAATAATGCAAGATTTATATACTTTATTTAAACTAAAAAGAAACAACGACAAATTCTGAGTGAGAAATTAGATTTAAAGATCTATCCCTTTTATATACAATGCCCTTTAATGGGCTTGTCTTGCTCCAGAGATTTAGCACTAACTGCGATTATAAAACAGAATTATATCGATCGATCTGAATTTTTACAAAATGCCTCAATTTAATGATTTCGGCTCATATCATTCTTGATAAGCCTATTTCTTTTTTTTAATTCCTTTCATTCCCTTTATTTCATGGTTTTGATCTATGAATGTGGATTTCCAAATTATCCTCTCGTTTTGGAGATAATGGAGAGGTTAAGCTAACGATGTTTTTCACAACGTAACCGTGAACGCAAAGTACAAAAATTAACAAAGGAATGTATCGAGCGCTCATAGTTTTATGCGCGCTTAGTCTACTTCAGATACTCGTTCAGCTTCAGAGTTTCGGGTTTGGAACGGGAGATTTGAAATTTGACGTTTGGTCAACGGGAACCATTTTACTCGTGTCTATTGAACACTATGCTGTCAATTTTGATTTCGATGCACAGTTGAATTCTTGCTGAACACGATGATGTATGTCATGCATGATTTAGCGCCAAAAATCTTACGAAACGAGCTCGTTTAAAATATGTATTAGAAAGCTATAAAACCGCATCAATGACATACTATAGAATCATTACACGCTATGGTGTAGTCTAAACAAACACTGGATTTGAACGGCTATTTATATGAGAAGGCTACATGAATTTGTATATGGTCGAGTGATACGTACAGGTTCAGTTTCGATTATATATGCAAAGCTTAACCTCTCCATTATGTTTGAGACGGTGAACAATATATTGGTAGGTTGGTCGGGCATGTTTCTTGCAATGTTGCATATCTTATACAGTGTATCTCGCTCTGCCATTAGAATAATAATTAACTTTTAAAAATCTCATTACGTGTACGATCTTGGCATCAGATCGAAAGATTCATACATACAATTCATATTTGAAAAGAGGTATGAGAGAGGAGACATAATTTTAATCATTGAAAGAGTACCCATATAGGACCATCTTAACGTTTGTGATTTGAAATCTTATAGACAGTTTAAAAGAAGAATTTATTAATAAGTTTGACACAATGCAAAAATCATACGTTGTCCTTGTTAGAACTGGTCCTTCCTTGGAGGGACTTGGTGCCTTTCCGTGCAATCACTTTCACGAACTTGTGGCTGAGGCAGAACCCAGTCTCATCTGCATTCCATAATCTGCTGGGGTCATCGTGCATATTGAAATATGTCATTATGTGGTCCAAGTCGTCAAAGTAATACTTGACCGTTCTGAAGTCCATTTGTCTGTGTCGGTTCGCTGCAACAAACAAGGTATGCATTTTACCTATAATTTTAAATCTATCTTTATTTACACTTAAAATGTATATGTACAATACATATTCACATAATGATGATGTAAGAATGTTGCATCTTAATTTCATGTGTATCTTAACAAAGAACTTTTCCTCGAGCTATTTGTAAACGTGTTGTCGTAAAAATGATTATAAAATGATTGACAATATATTTTTCTTATTATTTTAGCGCTTTGTTTACTCCTTTACAATCTATGAATAAAAAATTAAACGTTTTGAATTTTCCATTACATTACATCATGCACATATAAATCATTTTTCTCAGTTGAATTAATAATTATGTTGCAACTTACATGGTAAAATGTTATGTGACAATTTATCTTTTCAACTTGCATTTATAGTTTTGACGACTTAGATAAATAAGGTATATGCCTATTGATATTGATTAGTTAAAACGATAATTGTTTATTTTCAATATTTGGCAAATAGAAGAAGCGGTGATGAGCCATTTTCACTGATATAGTATTCAAGCCCCGTTTATGCCGTTCGTGTACAGGGAGGGTGCTTATAGCCATCGTGTGACAAAAATGTTGCAGATAATCCATAGTTAGATGTTTTATTATAATAATAGAACATAAAATAACACGTGTTGTCTTAAGTTTACAA